GAATATTCATACAGTTCATAGAGCATTTTGCATTCTGAGCATTTTGCATCATAAAAACATTCGCATTTATTTCTCGAAATAAACTGCACAAAAATTACGGCAAATTCACACTGAATATCTCGTTCGTGATTTATGCGATATTGAGACTAGAAACAGAAAATAAACGAATACTGCAGAAACATGCTTTAAATTCTGGCGAGTTAGCCAAAGTCAAACAAAGTGGAAAACAGTGAGGGAATAATTAAAGTCATGACTGTAATATTACACTGAAGTTTCATTCAAGCGGGCAGTGATTAAATAAGAACAATGCGGCTTTCATATATCCGCAAATATGCGTTTATCGGGCACTAATCCATTTTCATTACTTCAATCCAACGCTGCGATATTGTCTGGAGGAAAGATGATCACATCGCTCAGCTCAAAACATTACCATAACTACCCGTCTATCCAAATGCGCTCTAATCAAAGATTTTCACATTTGATCCGAATCAAATCTAATCCAAAGCAATCTTAGCAAATGGAGAATAAATACGATTAAAGAGATATCTGCATGGCATCTCATCTCATCGCATCACATCATCATCATCATCAAATGACCTCCCCTTCCACCTTCCCATTCAGATTTCATCAATCTACCCCTATTTCTCGGACTACGCGAGTGCAACAATGCGCTGAATCACATTACGATGCTTCATGATGTTCATCCAGTTCGAGATTAACGCAAAATGCACTCCAGTTATGTGCCAGCATAAAGAATACAAACATTTTACATGTATCTCAATCCTAGTTGATAATTCAAAACTCTTTTGCACAGGTCGCCTCGATAATGGTATAAAAATTTTAAAATCACAATACTCTTGAGACTAGATTCCGGTAAAAATCGAAATCTATTCATATTCTTAAGAGAGAATCAGATTAATTATGCAGTACTTTCACTGTTTTTTTGATTATTAGTTGTAACAAATCTACTGTAAAGTCAAGACTACATCAAAAAATTATTTTGTGAGTGATTTACGAACAGTCGTGTTTCGAGCAAAACGATCATTACAACTCATAAAAAATTGCGTCATTCGAATGAAGACAAGAATGCCAAATGCCGCACACGGTCACTTGCAAAAATGCAGAAATTTGTAATGAACAATCAACAAAACATCGTAACCTAATGATATCACTAATTAGCAAACAATTCAATAGCGTTGATACAATAAAAATATTTCGACGAGCAATGCAACGATCATAAAATAACAGATTCATAGTATGACGCGGTTGTACAGGAGTGTTTTTAGTACAACAAAATTTCGAATACTTTGTTCTAATGATGGATGAACTCAGTGTTCTCATAGTCAAATAAACCAAGTTAAGCTTCTGTTTTGGAACTGAAGTTCAAATCCTCCAAATAATATGAAGCAGGTGAGTTGCACACATTAGAATACGTTGCATTAAGCATCTTGAAAGATCATCAATAAAGTTTATTCTTTATTTTTCTATTATTTAGATATGTGAAAAAATAAGTACGTTCTTCTAAACACTAAAAAATGAAACTACCGCATACGAATAAACTGAAATGACTGTGAAATCAAATATTAACAATATTACCTACGTACTGAATAACAGACAGATATGAACTTGTGTAGGTCGTCAATGGAGAGAACATTAGGGATAGATTCTTCGAATAAATGAACAGATCCACATACAAAAGAGGAATAACCCAGCGAGATGCATCCATCTCGTTGCCGAGCAAGGATAAAACCTCAACCATTGTTCTATTGTTCAGTGCAGAAACAGAATGCATTCAATAGTACCTCTTTAATTTACCATTACCATAAAAGTCGACCAATTGCGAGCATTATTCCTTTGAAATACGACTAATCCAAAAACAACAAAATTATGAATGACACGAATACAATAGATAATGCTGACTTAATACAACACACCTACATTATTATTTTTCCTTTGTTGCACTCTTACTTAGAAAGAGTGGATGAAATTCAAAAATTTCAATACTTTTGCGAATACGAGAACTTCTTTTGTGAAAACTGCGAATTATCATTGAAAACAATGATTGAGATGCATTGAAATGAAATGAAATAAACGAACGAGATGATTCAAAACAGACAACGTTCTCAAGACATCGACGTGAGAATCTAACGAGTGAAACTTTAACAACATCAGATATTTGGTTTGTTATCAGGCAAAGATCAACGATATCTACTTCGAACACTCTCCCACAATCACAGCTCATATTTAAGATGAGATCTAAGATCATCTCGACAAATAAGCGTATAATGATGGTATACATCAAACCAGTATCACACGGACTGATCAAACCCAACTCATCAGTGTAACGAATGATCCATAACTAATAACAAATTGCATAACATTCTCAATATGTCACCAAGAAATCACAATAAAACTACACCCTCAACTCTAATTTGGCTTAAACTCATCTAAAATCCCATCATCGAACTTCATTTCATCGAATGTGCAAATGCGATCATTTAATCTCAGAGATATTCAAATAACACGAAAAACAAACAAGACTAATACTAATAAAACCATTCATTATGATGAGAATACGATTGCATGAAAAGAGTGCACTCCAACAATGATTAAGTTTCATAATAAAAGATCTAATCTGTTATATGCACATAAACCCAACGAATAGACATCGCTATATCTCATTCAACAATTTTTAATATCTTTAATACAAACACAAATAAGTTGTTTGCTACCGTTCTCGTTTGTTTGCTTTTTCCATGGCTAGTGCTACACATTCGATTGTCTCATGCTTAAGATACCCATCTCTACCGATAATAAATGTCTACCAATGAAATATCACATGAAGACCATAATCAGAAGAAAATGAAATATATTTCTGAAATTTGCAGTATCTGATATGAAGGTTAGCAACGCAATTAATTAGATGCTGCAAGAAAGCGTAGTGGCTTCAGAGCATGTTATAGAGCTGAAATAGCCTCATACAAGACTCTTCCCTTCGGCTTGAATCTTTTCAGGACACGATTTCTAACCCGAACAGAGCGAGACAGTTTCTTTCAGAATTGACAGAAACAGAGCAGATAAGAAATAACGATGACAATAAACAATGGAACGAAAATTCGTAGCAATNTGAATCAAATGAGATGATGAGTGATTCAATACGTGATCGGTTCGATGCAATACACGATATTCAGCTCAAAACGTCGCTCTATTCAACCAGGTGCTGTATCCATATTAATAATGTGATATCGAATGGATATATATCGAGTATATTATATCAACGCCAAGTTATAATCAACCATCAATCATTCATGCAATGTCATAAATTCACCGAAACTTGTATTTCCATATCTCTCGCACAATCAGATTTATTAATGATAGTGAAATTTGAATGCGGATGATTGATAATGAGCCATTACAGTTCAGCACACTGATCGGTTGTTGGAATGAAGAGAAAGTGAAAACATTTGAGAATCGAATTTGAACGAAAGAGCATTTTGAGCTTTAGGGAGAAATTTCATTCAATTCGTCGCTGAATGCCTCCAAACGACAACAATGAAAACATTCAGATAGAACTACTGAAAATGAATCACAAAAACGATAACATCATATTTTCATTTATTCGATTCAAACGATATCAGACATAAGATCCTTCCTAGTTCATTTAATAATTCAAATTGTGGGCTCAGACAAGTATAGTGAACGAAGAACATCCAGCACAGAACGGATAAACATCAAAACTAAATTTACTGTTAATTAGAAAAGAACACTCGTGGAACAGATGCTCACCACAAGAATGGAGCTTAAAAATGTCAAAAAGACGAAACAATCTCAAGCGTCATAACCCGCTATGGATGAGTGTAACTGTGGGAAATGGGAAATAAAATTGGCCGATTTGAATGAATATGGAAGTGCGATAATATGGGATGAGCAGATAGATGCACCTGACTCGATGAATGTGTCATTATTTAGTTGGTTGGTTCTCAAGTCGTATTCAACCACACCGGATATCGAAACGAATGNCGATGAGCAAACAATGGAGACGGTGATGGGACATAACACTGTGGGCATAGGAAAGCAGAGGCAGCACGGAGATTTGAGGCCAAATTTCATTTGAACGCCATTCAATTATGACCTTTATGTTTGACGATTTGACTGGATTTGTGACATGTGAAAGGATCTACTGATAGTCATAAACTGAAATCTTACATTACAGTTTAATATAAGTGAAGTAATCTCGAAATCTTGACTGATACTACCTAAAATTTATGAGCAGTCATTTGCTATAAATACCTAATATTATTTTATTAACCGTTAAATACAACATTTCAGTTGATATCTATTAAGTAACGATAGCAGCTCACAGGACTTTAAGTCGCACAATTACGATTGCAAAGCAAAAACACGTATGATCAGCAGAACTACTGAAGGAGAGGCATATCCGAAAACATTCTATGAGGCATTCTATGAGTTCGACCACATTCTGAGCCTCAACCAATGGAATGAATCTTAACCTAGAATTGAACCGGAAGAAGGATATCGCAGAGAGGATTAAGTAGATAACTAACAGATGTCGTTACACCACAAAACGTAAAAATGATCCATTCAAAACAAGCAAATATGTAAAGGAACGAGCACGGTAAGCATTACAAGAGGGTCAACTCTCACATACGACACCAAGCCATATGCATTAGCATATATTACACACTCATTCATAAATATTATACATCTGGTATAATATTCCTAGATGATCTTATATAATTATGTATCATATCATATAAGTAATCATCTGTTATAGATATTATCTATAAGGAATATAGATTTTTGATTCATACGTCTAGCAAAAACTGTATCAAACGTTACAGAACCGAACATATTATTATGGAATTATCTCCAATCAAAGGATCGAACGAATGAAAAATTGAGCGAGATTTAAAAACCCACAGATTACAGAATTTGAAAGAAGGAAGATCGATTAAAATTGTGCTGAAAAATTATTCTGTGATGAAATTGGAAAAACGGTAAAGCAATACACACACACTGACAGCAATAGAAAGAATGGAGATTTGACAGAATACAATGAATTCTTCCTCAATAATTTCTATTTTC